ATAACAGCCTTACATCGGCCAAGAATTTGGTTTACAGCTAGTATTACCTGCATGCACAGTTCAGATTACTGAGGGGACATAATTTAACCATATTTATAATGGAAACTGCGCACAAACCCAAAGAGCATTGTTTATAATAAAATGTTCTTGTCATGTGTGCAGATATGAAACGTACCTTGTCGCCTTTCAAGAGCTGAAGTGTTTTTGAAAGTGAAATTGAAGGTCCTACAATTCGTGTGTTTGATACCAAATATATCAAGTTACAAATCCCTTTCATTAAAATAGTGTGCAACTTTTTGGTATCTTGCAGATCGCGATATGGGAGCCCGCCATAGGGCCCGTGCTCATTCGATTCAGATCATGAAGGTCGAAGAGATTGCTGCTAGCAAGTGCCGCAGACCAGCTGTCAAGCAGTTCCATGTAAGTATAGCAAATTTGTATGACCCTATTTTACAATTCCAGCCAAAGATTGTAGCCTTAATCCCAATGGTGAGAGAAGACAATAATCACAATGCACTAACTGTACATATCTTCCCTTTAATAATGGTTTAAGCACCACATTATATGAAATATATAAAAATATGAGTTGTATCTACTTATGTTTTAGCAGCACAGTAATTTCTCAAAAAAGTCCCTTGTCCTCTTTACTTTCATAACTATGTTCAAAATATGTCTGTCTCATATAATTTGTTCTTTTAAAGGATTTGTTTGTAAATTCTTTCTCTCCTTCAGTCATCTTTCTCCCACTTGGTATCCTCAAAGCATTCTCAATATCCTGTACAGCTAGATTGGCTTTCTTTCTGATACAAGCCTACATGTGTATCAGAAGCACCCTGTCATTTTTAAGTAACTTGAAAATAAATTGACTTTTAAAGTAATTCACAAATTCAAAACAGTTTTTTTAAAATTGCTAAAAAAGCAGTTTTATAGATTTTAATACTGCTGAGAAGAATCTGAAAAATCCTGGATATTAATGGATACCTAAGAATTACTTATTTTTCATTAGCAGCATTTGGGGACCTTTTAATACTAATACTGCGAATACAGGGAGTAAACACCTCCTTTTTGTGTTTTAAATATCAAAGATAGTAACTGGAAAAATCCCTTGTGAATATTATGATTTCAGTATTGATTTGTATCACAGTATGGGAAAAATAACTTGCACTAGTAACATCTTGGAAACTAAAAATGTGTTCTCTTCTTACAGGATTCCAAAATTAAGTTCCCTCTGCCGCACAGAGTTCTGCGTCGCCAGCACAAGCCACGCTTCACCACCAAGAGACCAAACACTTTCTTCTAAATGCAGATTTCGTTTGCGTTCTCTGGGTTTCAATAAAGTTCCTATTCGATGTCTGATTGTTTTAATTGAGAAACATAATAATTTTATCCTTGCCACACAAAAAAATCACAGAAATGGCATCTCCCAGGACATTGTTTTTCTCCATCCCAGCCCTGTTTTATTATATGCATTTGTTCAGGATTTGGGAGTCAAAGCTGGAGTGTGTTTTGTCCTTTGAGCAGAGCTCTGAATCCTGCCCATAGACTAAGGCTTGCAACCATTCTTCACTGCATTTGGTTAAAAAAACTTTTATTAAATCTAGTTGGTAAATATGCAATTTAAGGTTATTTATCGTGTCAGGAGCAAACCAAAACAGTTGTATTGCCATTTAAGGTTATTTTGGGATGGAGAGGAATTATTATTGCTAAAATGACAAGTATATGTGAATTGTATTTATAGACCAGACCTAGATCCATGTGGAGCAACAAATGCCCCTTCTCTCCTCTCAAGTCAAAATACATAGTATTTAAAGGTAGCCAATTACCTATTGTTTGAGGCAGATAAGACCCAGGGAATAAAAATAATGTATGAGTATCTAGTTGATCCATATCTTCCATCTATCCTGTCTATTCATGATATCCCAAATCTCTATAGCCCCTGTTGCTGTCCTGGAAATGAACAAGTTTTTTTCTAGATATTGGGATTATTTCTCATCCACACAAGCTGATATAATAACCAATGTGAGATATGATGGGAGTTGTAAGTCCCATCACCATGTAAAAGGTCACAAAAATAGCCCATGTTCTACAGTGGCACTGGCAGGGTGTCCTCAGTGGTCCTATGGCAACGTCTTGTGCACAGGGCTGAAGTGTGTGGAAACTGCAGTGGCAAGTCTTAGCCATGTTTGTCTCAAAATCCACCATGGACTTTGATTTCAGAGGTGGGACAGGAAGAGGAAAGGACACCTGTGCACTGACCATGTTTTAAGAAAAACAAGGGAAAGCATGGACACATTGACACATCTTATGAACTTCGGTACAGGCAGTCCACAAGTTATGAACAAAATAGGTTCTGTAGGTTTGTTCTTAAGTTGCATTTGTATGTAAGTTGGAACAAGTACATTTTTAACTGTAACCCCAGCCTTATGTATATATAGAGAGAGCTTTGGATAGCATAAGGAAGGGTTAACACTTGTAATGTTTTATCTCACTTTCTATCCCTTGTAGCTTGTGGAAACAAGGACTGGTGATGCACCAGTGGAGACACCTTTTTCCTTATGAGAACTTTCAGGAGTGTATTTATTTGCGGTATTTGTATACTGCCCTTATCAACCCCAAAGGGGACTCAAGGTGGTTCACAGTTTCAATGCCATTGATTAAAACTGTATAAAACACCAAAATTGATCCTCTCTTGTTAAAACATTAAATATTAAACACAACCTAAATTAACATATATCACACAAAGACATAGCTATTGTCCGTATTTCCCCTCCTAGGGGTAGATTTCTCTTTCTTAACTAGGAGTGATTTGTAAGTTTAATGTGATTTTGGAGAGTATACATTTTCCAAATGAATAGTTACAGCTAAAGCAAGAACTTGCTGTAAAAGACCCATTTATGGATGGTTGCCACAAGCATCAGGTGCCAGAATTTCAGAATGTACATAGGAGCAGTGCAGCGTAGAAGGAGCTGCCTTTGAGTTAAACTCCTTATTCCAAGCTCTTCTGAGGCAGTGATCCACCTCCATTTCATCCTGTGTTGTCGAAGGCTTTCATGGCCAGAATCACTGGAATGTAGGTTTTTTCGGGCTATATGGCCATGTTCTAGAGGCATTCTCTCCTGACGTTTCGCCTACATCCATGGCAAGCATCCTCAGAGGTAGTGAGGTCTGTTGGAACTAGGAAAAGGGGTTTATATATCTGAAGCACCATTAAAGCCTTGGCAGACCGTGCAAAAAGAATCTGCGAACCCCACCTCCTTCAAGATGAACTGAACCATCTCAACTGGGCTCTCCAGGCCAATGGATATCACCTCAGACATCAGAAGAGCTGCAAGACCAAGAACAAGCCACGAGAGTCAAGATAAGATCCACCCAGAGGAAAAGTGTTCTTGCCATACATCAAGGGAACCACTGACCGCATAGGGAAGCTGATGAGGAAACACAACATACAAACTATCTACAGACCCACCAAGAAAATCTAACAAATGCTACGTTCAGCAAAGGACAAGAGGGATCCTCTCACTTCTGCAGGAGTCTACCGTGTACCATGCAGCTGTGGACAAGTCTACATAGGGACCACCAAACGCAGCATTGCCCAAACACGAATCAAGGAACATGAAAGGCACTGCAGACTACTTCAACCAGAGAAATCAGCCATAGCAGAGCACCTGATGAACCAACCTGGACACAGCATTTATTTGAGAACACAGAAATGCTGGACCACTCTAACAATTACAAGGAGCCCCCGGTGGCGCAGTGGGTTAAAGCACTGTGCCGGCAGGACTGAAGACCGACAGGTCGCAGGTTCGAATCCGGGGAGAGGCGGATGAGCTCCCTCTATTAGCTCCAGCTCCTCATGCGGGGACATGAGAGAAGCCTCCCACAAGGATGATAAAACATAAAAAAAAATCATCCAGGCGTCCCCTGGGCAACGTCCTTGCAGACGACCAATTATCTCACAACAGGAGCGGTTGCTCCTGACATGACAAAATAACCCCCAAAAAAACCAGTCAGACTACACAGAGAAGCCATTGAAATCCACAAGCATGTGGACACTTTCAACAGAAAGGAGGAAACCATGAAAATGAACAAAATCTGGCTACCAGTATTAAAAAAAACTCTAAAATTACAACAGCACAACAGAAAGGAAACAAACAAGGACATCTAATCACCTCTCAACAAAAGTTTGCTCTAGGCAATGTCAGGCCATTATATGCTAATCAAGGTGGTCAGTTGAAACATTCACACCTAGCTCCAGCAGACAAGAGCCCTTTGTCTCACCTTGGTCATTCCACAGATATATATAAACTCCTTTTCCTAGTTCCTACCTCTGAGGATGCTTGCCATAGATGCAGGCGAAACGTCAGGAGAGAATGCCTCTAGACCATGGCCATATAGCCCGAAAAAACCTACAACAACCCTCATCCTGTGTTGTTTAAACTGTCCTTATGACAAGCTTTGCTGTGGCAGGGATCCACCTCTTTTTCATCCGATATCAGAGTCAATTGAGTCGCTTGTTCACTCTAGAAAGCAGGCATGGGCCAACTTGGGCCTTCCAGGTGTTTTGGAATTCAACTCCCACCATTCCTAAGAGCCTCAGGCCCTTTCTTTTCCCCCTTCAGGAAAGTACCTGAGGCTGTTAGGAATTGTGGGAGTTGAAGTCCAAAACACTTGGAAGGCCCAAGTTTGCCCATGCTTGCTCTAGAACCAATGGAGTTTGACTTCACTTTGAACAGTTCTTACTGAATCCTGGGACTGTAGTTCCCAATACTGAAGCAGTGGGGGCTGATCCAGGAAGTGCGCTGGCCTATCGCAAGGTCGAGGCAGAAGTTTAGGCCCCGCCCCTTTCTTCACTCTTCTAGGTCAGGCGGTAAAGGGAGCCCCGCCCACCGTGTGCCTCCTGAAAATGGGCGGGGCTGCCGGAGTGTTTACAGCCGCGTCGCTGCTCGGCGGGTCACGTGGCTGGGCGTGTGTGCGCGCGCATCGTCCCCGGCCTTCCTGCCCTGAGGGAGGCGTGGTGGTGGTGGCGGTAGTGGTGGGAGCGGAGGGGCGGATGGGGGAGCCGTTCCCGCTGGGGGCGCCGGTGCCGGTGGAGCAGGCCGTGCTGGAGACGTTCTTCTCGCACCTGGGCATCTTCTCCTACGACAAGGCCAAGGATAATGTGGAGAAGGAGCGGGAGGCCAGCAAGAGCGCCGGCAGCAGCTGGCTCTCGCTCCTGGCCGCCTTGGCCCACCTGGCCGCCGCCGAGAAGGCCTACCACAGCATGACCTTCCTCGGGCAGAAGCTAGGTATACAGCAACGGCGCCCCTTTGGCACAAGGCTGGACCAACTTCGGCCTTCCAACTTCGGCCTTCCCCTCAGCCGCTTAAGCGGCTGAGGGGAAAAAGGAAGGGGCCTGAGGCTGTTAGGAATGGTGGGAGTTGAAGTCCAAAACACCTGGAGGGAGGGCCTAAGTTTGCCCGTTCCCCCAAAATATACGCCAACAGAATTAACTACCAACAGTCAATATTTGACAGCTGAGGAAGCACACCTAGAGTCTCCCTTTTCCAAATGCAAAAGTCTCCCAAGTTTGGGAATACCTATACATGATATTATTATTATTACCCTAGTATCTCAGTTAACCAGCACCCATGGATGTTGAATCCATGTCGCTTCTAGTTGCTTGAGAGTTACTCTTGAAATGGATATAACTCATTCAACATTCATTTTATTTATTATTTATTTAATTACTGTGCTTATAGACCGCTGTTCTCAGCCCTGGGGCGACTCACAGCGGTGTACAACATAGGGAGAATAAGGTGCAATTTACAAAACATAATCCAACAGCAACCTAGCAATATCAAAACAACATCAACATTCATCATCATTATGTTTGTTTATATGCCACCTTTTCTCTCCATATGGAGAATCAAAGCAGTTTGGGAATACCTATACATGATATTATTATTATTATTACCCTAGTCTCTCAGTTAACGAGCCCTCGTGGATATTGAATCAATGTAGCTTCTGTTGCTTGAGAGTTACTCTTGAAATGGATCTAACTCATTCAACATTCATCATTATTATGTTTGTTTATATGCCACCTTTTCTCTCCATATGGACAATCCAAGCAGTTTGGGAATACCTATACATGATGTTATTATTATTAGCCTAGTCTCTCAGTTAACCAGCAGCCATGGATATTGAATCAATGTAGCTTCTGGTTGCTTGAGAGTTGCTCTTTATAATTAGCCCAACTCATTCAATATTATTATTATGGGCCTAAATCAGGGGTCCACAAACATTTTAAACAGAGGGCCAGGTCAAAGTCCCTCAAACTGTTGGAGGGCTGCATTATAATTTGAAAATAATGAATGAATTTTTGTGCACAATGCACATGTCTTATTTGTAGTGCAAAACACTTAAAATACAATAGAATAACAAATATAAAGTTATTAGTATTTCAATGGGAAGTGTGGACCTGCTTTTGGCTGATGAAATAGCATTGTTGTTGTTGTTCTTGCTTTTGTTCTTGTTGTTGTGTGCTTTCAAGTCGTTTCAGACTTAGGTTGACCCTGAGCGAGGGCCATATTCGGCCCCCAGGCCGTAGTTTGAGGACCCCTGGCCTAAATCATTTATTATTATTATTATTATTGTATTTATTTATATCCCACTTTTTCTCTCTATATGGAGAATCAAAGCAGTTTTGGAATACCTATACATGATATTATTATTACCTTAGTCTCTCAGTTAACCAGCACCCATGGATATTGAATCAATGTAGCTTCTGGTTGCTTGAGAGTTACTCTTTAAAATTAGCCCAACTCATTCAATATTGTTATTATTATGGGCCTAAATCATTCATTATTATTATTGTGTTTATTTATATCCCACTTTTTCTCTCCATATGGAGAATCAAAACAGTTTGGGAATACCTATACATGATATTATTATTATTACCCTAGTCTCTCAGTTAACGAGCCCTCGTGGATATTGAATCAATGTAGCTTCTGTTTTTAGTAGTTATATTTATATTTTTAATGTACCAAACATGCCAGGTTTGTCTGGAAATGTGACACTATTTCCTGTGCTGGTCAATGACCGAAATAAATATTTTGATTTGATTTGATACCTATACATGATATTATTATTATTAGCCTAGTCACTCAGTTAACCAGCACCCATGGATATTGAATCAATGTAGCTTCTGTTGTTTGAGAGTTGCTCTTTAAAATTAGCCCAACTCATTCAGTATTATTATGAATGGCGCAGTGGGTTAAAGGGCTGAGCTGCTGAGCTTGTTGACCGAAAGGTGGCAGGTTCGATTCCGGGGAGCGGCGTGAGCTTCCGCTGTCAGCCCTAGCTTCTGCCAACCTAGCAGTTCAAAAACATGCAAATGTGAGTAGATCAATAGGTACCGCTCCGGCGGGAAGGTAATGGCACTCCATGCAGTCATGCCGGCCACATGACCTTGGAGATGAGCACCAAAACCCAGAGTCAGACATGACTGGACTTAATGTCAAGGGACAACCTTTACCTTTACTATGGGATTAAATCATTCATTTATTATTGTTATTATTATTATTGTGTTTATTTATATCCCACTTTTTCTCTTCATATGGAGAATCAAAGCAGCGCACAACTAAAAGCATTGTAATATAACTTAAAATATACAAGTATTGAAACAGTATGAATCATAGTATTGTCAAAGGCTTTCATGACCATGATCACTGGGTTGTTGTAGGTTTTTTGGGCTGTATGGCCATTTTCTGGAAGCATTTTCCCCAATGTTTTGCCTGCATCTATGGCGGGCATCCTCAGGGGTTGTGAGGATTTCACAGGTGAAACATGCAGAGAAATGCTTCCAGAACATAGCTATACAGCCCAAAAAACCTACAACAACCCAGTATTATCATTAAAACCATATAAAATCACAGCAGCTCCTGATGCTCTTAAAAACCTTATTTAAAACCCTGTCTTAATTAAAAGGTTGAAGCCTTCACCGAAGCCCCCTGGTGGTGCAATGACTTTAACCCTTGTGCCAGCTGAACTGCTGACCAAAAGGTCTGCAGTTTGAATTGGGAAGTGGGGTGAGCTCCTGTCTGTCAGCTCCAGCTTCTCATGTGGGGACATGAGAGTAGCCTCCCACAGGATGGTAAGACATCTGGGCGTTCCCTGGGCAACGTCTTTGCAGACGGCCTATTCTCTCACACCAGAAGCTACTTGCAGTTTCTCAAGTTGCTCCTGACACACATACACAAAGCCTGCAGCCGTAAGGACAGCAGGAAGGGGGCCATTCTGGCTTCCCTAGGAAGAAGGGAGCTCCAGAGTTGCATGCAGCCACCGAGAAGGAAGGCCCTATCTCACTTATTTGTGATGGATGTGGGACTGAGAAGGACCTTTCCTGAAGATCTTAGGGCCCATGTAGGTTCATACAAGGGGATTTGGGTGGCCAAATAACGTGGACCTATAGTGTCTAGGGCTTTAAAGTTCATAACCAGCACTTTGAATTGTGCCTGGTAACATACTGGCAGCGAGTAGAGCTGCTGCAATATGGGGATTGTGTGCTCCCTGTAGCCAGCCCTAATGAGCAACCTGGCTGCAGCTCTTTGGACCAGTGGAAGTTTCCGAGCACTTTTCAGAGGCAGAAAGTGTTACAGTAATCCAGACAGGAGTATAGTGTGGAAATATCCCATACTATACCAGACCATAAACTCTGTATTGACTTGATAGTAATATTGAAGTAGAGAAATTCAAAGAACTAACTAAAGTTTTACTGTTTTTACAGTGTTATAAAAACAGCTTATTTCAAGTATTATTTCTTTGGTTGATTGATTTTTTTGCCAGTTGCTTGATAATTAATTGAGGATCTACTGTATTATTATTACTGTTTATATCTCTGTTAAATGAGACTCGAAAGCAGCTCACAACATTTAAAAAAAAACTATACAATTTAAAACCTACAACATGATATCTTGAAGATCCCAGTCTAAATAGGATGGATGGCCATCTGTCAGGAGTGCTTTTGTTGTTTTTTATTCTTTTTGTTGTAAACACAAGGATAATGATTCAACTATCAATAACAATCCTGCGATGTAAAATAGTTTTGTGACAAAGTTTGTGTACATTGAACCCTCAGAAAGTAGAGGTCTCCCATATCTCGGCCACTCATGTAGACTAAATTGTCTACAGGATTTTGGAATATTTCAGAATTTCAAATAAAGGGGTTTTCAAGTTGTATATCTCCGTTGAAGAATGAATACTGATTTAATCAGAATCACGGGTTTTAAATGACACTTTATTGTCAGGGATTCCACTTAAAGTTTATCTTGTAATGTTGCAATATTTCTATTCCATTATACACTTTAGTCCTGTTACAAATATATAAGTTTTTAAAAATAAAAAAATCAGAAAATTCCAGAATTATACATTAAATCTGTACAAGTTATGAACAAGATTCTGTAGGGTTTTTTCTATTTCTAATTTCAATTTTATTGTATATACATCAAAAATAGAATAGAATAATATGGGTATAAGAGAAAGAAAGAGAAAGAAATAAATTTAGATACATAAAAAGAGAAAAAACATGGAAAGTGGGTGACCAATTGATATCCAAGGAAAGTAGGAAAAAGAAGAAAGAAAACCCCTTCTAACTAACAAAAGGAAAAAAGTTTTTTTCCTTAAGTTGGAACAGGTACATTTTTAAATGTAACTCCAGCCAAATCTATCGATCTATCTATCTAAGCTTTGGATAGCATAAAGAAGGGTTGACCCCTACAGTGTTTTGCTGTCTATGCCCCTGTTCAGAAGCTTTCACCTTACTTTCTGTCCCTGTAATAATTGAATTTTGAAAAAAAAATGGCTTGTCGGAGAAACAAGGATTGGTGATACCCCAGTTGGGGCACCTTTTCCCCATTATAACTCTTTCAGAAGTGAATTTCCCTTCCTAGGGGTAAATTTCTCTCACTTTCTGTTATCTCTCTCCCCTTCTTAACCAGGAGTTGAATGTAAGTCAGATGTTTGTAACTCAGGGACAGTCAGTATCCATTTTGGGGATACCTTATATGTAGTAAAACCCTCAAACCCTCAGTGTTAGGTCTGCAAAGAGCCAGTACTTCAAGGGTTCAGGGCAATGCCCTGGATAGTTTTGGGATCCATCTTATAACAGGAGAAACATTGGGCCTCTAAGCATGTGCAGGATGCCTTTCCCAGCATATCTTCCTGAACAGCCTCAGAAGGCAAACACATGTGCTTGGGATCATATGTTTGGAGGGTGTGCCTCAAAATTTCTTGAGATGTGGCAAGCAGATATCTTTTTAAGCAACATCTATTCTTAATTGGTCTCTGTTGTGTTATTCTTTCAAAAGGCTGGGGCTGCTCAAAGGTTTATTTGCTGACCAGAAGAACACGTTGCATAGAAAAAAAGGCTTCCACCTTCCGGTGGTTGATCTCTAGCATTGTGTTCTTTCATCATTCTTGCTGATATTCTACTTCCTGTCTCTTCCCTGTGAAATCAAATCCTGGAAGAGTAGTTACTCCTTATTTGATACAATATATTAAGTGTTCATTTCAAAATTAAACTATGGATCCCAACCCCAAATGGGATCCCCTTAGCTCAATGTTGGCAATAGTAAATGGTTTTTAATGCCACCCTTTTTACACAAAGCTGTTAGCAACAACATGCAGTGTTTACAGGATACTCTGCAGAAAATGCTTCAGCTGTATTCCATAACCGGCCTGTTTAGAAAGCCTTCAAATGCAATTTTATTATCATTAAATGTTTGATTTGCATACCTATTTTATATACCTGCATACCCGGGGTCACATAAAAATTATCAGGTATAAGGGATCGCAAGTGGAAAAAGTTTAAGAAGCCCTGGTGTAGGATGCTGACCAACTTTCAGTGGATTAAATTGGTTTTTTAAAAGGCAAATCTGTAAGAATGTATTAAATGGAGTTCTGTGAAGAGTGGGTTCCAAAGACTGGAGAATGTGTTTATACCCTTAGTACTATTATGTTTTCTGGTTCTTGCAGTGCTCCTACTTAGAGAATGTGGTTGCAAGATAGCAATTTGATCATTTTATGCTCATTCAATACATATAAATTGTGGAGTAGGTCCTTGGGAATGTTTTTTGACCCTAGGACCTGTTCACAGCTAATCAAAATCCGCTCCCCCCCCCCAATTAAACTAACCCAGAAGTTTTGTGCTAGATTTTAAAAAGTTTTTTTTTTATAGTCAACGGTGAAATCTTTAGATTTGTATAGAAGGTAGATCGTTCTAGAGATGAAGCATTTCACCCTTTCCTTTTTGTCAGGGTCATACTTAGTCCACTGCTGCCCTTGAATGCTATACAAAAATAGAAAAAAGTTAAGTTTCTGCCTGATCGGAGGCTCACAGTCTTTAAAAGGGGGAGTGAGACAGTAATCGAAAAATGAAGAGACAGTAAAAGGACAACCAGATACTGGAGGGAAATCAAAAGGAATATTTCTAAGAAAATGCAAGAAAAAAATGACATTTTATTAATTTTTTTTAAAGCAAGGTAGAAAAACAAGGAAGTAATTAATTTTGTGCTAGACTTGTGATTTCTTCTATAAGTACAGTCGTTTCAAAATAGGAACTCCTACGAAGTGAGAAATGCATCCTGCTCTCCATTTATGATTACTTAATCTTACTGCATTCCCTTAATGGTCCTTGTCAATTCCTTGAGATATGATAGGCCTTACTGGGAGAAATATGTGCTTATGCTTTCCTCATTTTAAATAATTTAAAATGTACTTGTTTGTGTGCTTTGATGCACTAATGAACAAGTCTTCGAAAGTATATGGCTATTCTCTTTGGATTTTGATTTGCAGCCAAGATGTTGGCATATGCATGCTCACGTTTCAGTGCTCCTTTAAAAAGTTAAAGCATTCCATGTTTTGCTTGGTGAAAAAGCACATTTAAAAGTCTCGTGTTATTAATAGCAACACGAGTTATTAACATTTCATAGTGGCATCTTTTTTTCAAACTCCTAGGGACGAGGTTGCTTCTGGGTTACAGATATTCTGACTGCAAAAGTTGGATTTAATAGTGAGACCACTCTGAAAATGCAGTGTGAGATGGGGTGAAGTGGAAGAGAGTTCTTGATGAAAAATTAATTTAGTACAAAAATAAATTAGTTCACTAAAATGTAAAAGCTGTTATAGAATCTATTCTTAAGCATTTTTTTCTGAATATGTAATTACTAATGAAGGAATGTGAGTTGTTGTGTTACTTGTGACATTTTTCCATTCATGAGTTTTTGACAAATACGTACTTTATCTTAAAAAAAATTACAGGTGGGCAATCGTTCTTCAGCCGAAAGGACTCCATACGGACCATATACACATCTCTACATAATGAACTGAAGAAAGTGGTGACAACAGGTCGGAATGCATTGGGAGGAACGGCTCCCCACTTAGAAGAACTGCTTTCTCACCTGTCTGAACAGCTCTGTTTTTTTGTTCAGGCTCGAATGGAAATTGCTGACTTCTATGAAAAAATGTACAGCCTGAGTTCACAGAAATTTATCAACTCTGAAGAACTAGTAGGCATCTTGGAATCCATCCTTAGAAAGTATAGCTCAAGGTCAGTTTGTATGTGTATTTTTCTGTCTTTTGAATTCTGGAGAAGTACAATCCTGAATGGGATCTTTGCCTAAATAATAATGTAATCCTGATTCTAGGGCAGTGGTTCTCACCCTGGGGGTCCCCAGGTGTTTTGTCCTACAACTCCCAGAAATCCCAGCCAGCTTATCAGCTGTTGGGATTTCTGGAAGTTGAAGGCCAAAACATCTGGGGACCCCAGGTTGAGAACCACTGTTCTAGGAAGTTCTTAATTTGAATAGTTCCAGATTTTTTTGTAATGTGTGACTACATCGATATATTTCTCCATACCTTCAAAAAAAGCCTTAGCTAAGGATAGGATGTCTCCTCTGAATGAATGCCTGGAGAAGGTAATGGGCTGGATGAGGAATAACAAATTGCAACTGAATCCAGACAAGTCGGAAATGCTTGCCATCAAGAGTCCTAATCTGGAGGTGGAGGTGTGTCAAGCAGTTCTGGATGGGGTTACACTCCCCATGAAAGATTGTGTGCTCCACTTGGGAGTGCTCCTGGATCTGACTCTCCAAATATCAGCCCAGGTAGATGTGATGGTCAGAAGTGCTTATTACCAGCTTCGGTTGATATGCCTGTTGCACCCCTTCCTAGAGTTGGAGGACCTGAAGATGGTAGTGCAAGACTGGTACGGGTTGGATTTCTGCAATATGCTTTACATTAGGCTGCCTCTGTAGTTCTTAAACTACACTTAGTTCAAACTATGGCAGCCAGACTTGTAGCAGAAACGTTTAGGAGTAAGCATATTACCCCCATATTAAACTCACTCCACTGGTTGCCAATTAATTTCTGGGCAAATTACATAGTGTTGGATTTGGGCTTTAAAGCACTAAATCGTTTGGGTCCAGGTTACCTACAGGCTTGCTTTCCCCCAACAAATCTGCCCTTTAGGACACTTGGGTCCTCTGGCAGATGCTTACTCCAACCAACCAGAACCTGACTGGCAACCGTCCCAGAGAGGGCTTTTTCATTGGCCACATTGGAATGACTGTAAGGTCTTTATTTGATTTTGTAAATTATATCTCTACCCAGCCAATTTTAAACTATGAATTTTAAATTTACAATTAATTATCATTGGCATTTTAATATTCGTTTTGTGTTTTCAGTACATGTATTTTTATGTTTCTTTGTTTTATCTGTGTTTTTTAATTAAGTAGTGGGGAACAACCTTATCCATGCTGGGACTGTCTCCTATGGCTTTACTCTGTTCAGCCCCAACTGTGCCATGTTGAACGGGGATATTTTGCTCATGTTCTTTGGACTAATACATAATCATACTTCAAGTTATTTTCTCATTATTTGGAACTGTGAACAAGAAATTTGGTGTTATGTTTATACCTCTTTTGACATAAATCTTGTGGTAGGCAATTGCTTGAAGGGATTGCTTCTATCAGCTAAATTGGTAAAGAGCAAGAGCCCTACACACCCCTGAGTCCTCTTTATTTGTTTTGAAAGACTGGGAAACCTTCCTAAACCAGCTTTGTGATGATGTCAATTGCTTTAGAAGGGAGGGAAGGAGAAATTTCAAGCGCCATAATAGCATCTGTGGGTCTCCAGGTGTTTTGGCCTACAACTCCCAGAAATTCCAGCCAGTTTACTAGCTGTTAGGATTTCTGGGAGTTGAAGGCCAAATATCTGGGAATCCACAGGTTCAGAACTACTGATGCAGAAGGTCTTCTGAAAGCAGCAGGGCCCTAATGAGTTTCAAGACACTATAGTGATTGGAACCTGGATTATCCTAAATCCTCACCCCATACTCTGACCACTGCATCACACTGGCTTTTAATGCAGTAGTCAGATTGACTTTGAAACTAAAGATATTGAAAATTATAGGTAAAGCTAAGCTAGTGATACAGTAGCTGAAGGTACTGTGTTGGATGAGGGTTTTCCCTTCCTTTTCCTTAGTGAAGTATAATACTCATTATGATCCTTGCCATTTCCTTTATTTGTTTATCACTAGAAGATGAATCTGAATTGTGTGGACTGTGGAAATTGAGGTTGGTAATGGATATGCCCAGAGCCAAAGGTAAAAAATAGAAAGATGTCACTTAGGAGAGATCTTTGGCAAATAAAGAAAAGAATATAATCCAATCTGATAACGTGTGAGACTTGACAGTTTCCTAGAATCAAGGGTATTTAGTATAGACAGTCCCCAAGTTATGGACATCCGACTTACAAACAATACATAGTCAAGAATAGGGGTAAGACAACAAGAAGTGAGGTGAAGGAGGCTGGTAAAGTTGGCAACAGGCTCCTTTGCCTTTGGTCTCCAGCCACTGCAGGGGAGCCTTGGCTTTCGGGCAGCCTTCTTTACCAGAGCCTTGGCTGTGGAAGAATGCAAGGGAACCTGTCAGCAAGCTCTCACTCTTTCTCCACAGCCAACTGACTATATTTATTTATTTATTTATTTACTGCATTTGTTGACCGCCGCTCTCAGCCCTGGGGCGACTCGCGGCGGTGTACAACATATAAAAACAATTTACAAAAGCATACAATATATCAACACAACCATATTACACATTAATCTAAATCACAATTAACAAATCCGCACCGTCATAGCATAGAATCATATCCAATCTCATAAACCATAATCCGTTCCTGTTGTCATTACCAAATTCATGTAGCTCTCAATTAAATGCCTTCTCAAATAGCCAGGTCTTTAGGCTCTTGCGGAAAGCCATAAGGGAGGGCGCCTGTCTGATGTCAACAGGGAGGGCGTTCCACAGCCGGAACACTATAGAGTTTCATTTAAAAAATGTACCTGTTCCGACTTACAAACGAATTCAATTTAAGAACAAACCTACAGAACATGTCTTCTTCGTAACTTGGGGACTGCCTGTACTTGGCTGCTACTTATTTGATGACTGGGATGAGATGAGCTGTATTTATCAGACTGCATGCATTTGTAGAACATACGAAGTGGCTTTATTGATCTTAAAATTATATTAGGAATAATAGTAAAATATTTTTGGTATTGACTGTAAAGCTGTGTTATGCAGTTTTTCTGTTTTTACAAGTGGTTATTATGACTGATAACTTGTCAGACATGATATCATTCTGTGGATGCACATAATAGTATTCAACATCCGCATTTAAGACTGGGCAACTTCCGCCCCTCTAGCTGTTGTTGGCACTGTGGTTGTCATCATTTCCCATTATTGGGTGTGCCAGCTAAATGTTGGAAATACCAGTCCAACTACATCTTGATGACCACATGTGTCAAACTCAAGTCCTGCAGGCCAAATTCTGCCCACCATGCCATTTCGTGTAGCCCTCCAGATAAGAAATCCTGTATTCCTCATCATTAGACATCATGACTAGAGCTGATTGGAGTTATGCTACAATAATGACAGAAGGGCTGTACTTTGTTTTGTTTAGTCAGGATAGTGGAGTTTGAATTTAGATAAAAGGCTTGTGGATATGATGTCTGACATTAAAATGTCCTTTAATCCAACCTCAGAACCACAAGTGGTATTGGGTTGCAGTTCCCATTATTGGGTTGCTGTGAATTTTCCGGGCTGTATGGCCATGTTCCATGAGCATTCTCTCCTGACATTTTGCCCATATCTATGGCAGGCATCTTCAGAGGTTGTGAGATCTGAGGATGTCTGCCATAGATGTGGGCGAAACATCAGGAGAAAATGCTTTTGGAACATGGCAGTACAGCCCGGAAAATTCACAGCAACCCAGTGATTCTAGCCATGAAAGCATTCGACAGCACAATTCCTATATCTCTGGTCAGCATGTGGGATAATAAAAAATGATGGAAGTTGTCATTCAATAATATCTAGGTACCCAAATTGGTTAAAATTAAAAGGTGCCAACCACTATGTAAAACATTGATTCAGTGGCCTGGCTCTGCAAACAATACATTTGAAGGCGACCATAAAGCTGATGTGGTCCTCGATGAAAATGGGTTTGACACTCCTGTCCTAAATAATTATAGAAATAAGTTTCCTAATCACTGACATCTGTGTTTTTTTCTTGTCTAGATTTCATCATCCAATCCTTAGTCCCCTTGAAAGCAGTTTCCAGTTAGAAGCTGACGTGCTTACTCATCTGTTGAAAGCTCAGGCGCAGATCTCCGAGTGGAAATTCCTCCCCTCCTTGGTTCATTTGCACAATGCTCACACAAAGCTGCAGACGTGGGGACAGATTTTTGAGAAGCAACGAGAAACCAAAAAGCACTTGTTTGGTGGACAATCCCAAAAGGCCGTACAGCCTCCTCACCTTTTCCTGTGGCTTATGAAAGTAAAAAATATCCTTCTTGCCAAATTTAGTTTTTACTTTTATGAGGCACTTAGTCGGCAAACAACGCCATCTGAAATGAAAGCTTTGACTGCCAAAACTAACCCTGATTATTTTGGGAAAATCTCCAGCTTCATCAGGAAATATGATGCTGTTAATGTTTCTTTAATCTTCGATAACCGTGGGTCAGAAAGTTTCCAGGGACATGGCTACCATCATCCCAACTCCTACCGGGAGGCCCCTAAAGGTGTAGATCAGTATCCAGCAGTGGTATCTCTGCCCAATGACAGGCCTGTTATGCACTGGCCCAACGTCATTATGATCATGACAGACAGAGCATCTGACCTCAATGGTTTGGAAAAGGTGGTCCATTTTTATGATGACAAAGTTCAAAGCACATATTTCTTGACTCGTCCTGAACCTCATTTTACTATTGTAGTAATTTTGGAATCCAAGAAGTCAGAGAGAGACTCTCATTTTATCTCTTTTCTCAACGAAATTTCATATTCCCTTAAGAACTCCAAAGCTTTTGCAAGCCTGAAGCCTGGATCCAAAGGATAAGAGCACTGGATGTATTCAGACTGCAAAGAAACAACAAGTGCTAAGCTTCCACAAGTATATGTTTGTGTATGTTGTCCTTAAAAAAAAGAACAAAGCAGCTATTTTAATATTAAGTATTTAATGTTACAATATGAATATTTAATATTAAAGATTTTTGCTAATAGGCTGACCAATATAAACTGAATGGGAGGGTAAAATGAAAAATACATAAATGTGCACTGAAATTATCAGGAGGGTATTTTGTTTAACTGCTGTATTTTTTTTAAGTTTATGACACTGAGTTGTCCTTACCAGAATTGAATATATGCACTTTATCTTTTGCTGGTCATTCACCTTGCATCTGCTGAATGAAAACTTGGCTTGAAAGGAATATGGTGTGAGGATGTTTTTCCCCACAGGGTCTATTTCTTCTGCTGTTATTCGTCATTCATATTCACTGGAAAGTATTGGAAGTTGGAAGGAAACAATTGCAATAAATTAAACGCACCATGGCTTGGTTGGTTTGTTTATGCTTAGCCTGAAAATAATACTGAAATGTGGTCTGGAATTCAATGACCAGATGAGATCCTAGTTCCGAACACAAGAGTTTTTTGGACTGCTTACACTTGTATATTATGTACTGAAGAACAGGATACAGGACAGTAACAGGAGAAGTGGGTTATTGAAAGGAGGGTAAGAAATCAGTGTTAGGAAAGGCATTAGGATTTGAATCTTAAATAATGTTACAAAATGAGTCATCTATTACCTACAGTTTTTTGTTTCATCCAAAGCTATTACATTATAGCAACCATTCAAGTGAAGCTCATGATATTAAGCCATGTTTCAAAATTGGTTTAATAGCCTGGCATGTTCCAAAACTCTTTTAGCTATAGTTTGTTTCATATAACATGAAACATTTCCTGGTTGGGTTGTTGTAGGTTTTTTTCGGGCTATATGGCCATGTTCTAGAGGCATTGTCTCCTGACGTTTCAACTGCATCTATGGCAAGCATCCTCAGAGGTATGCTTGCCATAGATGCAGGTGAAATGTCAGGAGAGAATGCCTCTAGAACATGGCCATATAGCCCGAAAAAAACCTACAACAGCCCAGTGATTCCGGCCATGAAAGCCTTTGACAATACATTTCCTGGTTGGTTTTCTGCTTTATGAAAAGAGTTCTGTATGTATCTGAAAGGCTCATTTATGGATCACAAAGCTCAGATATGATTGTTCATAAGTAGCCATTGCCAATATATATTTTATTCTCTTTTCATTGGTAGCCAAAGAATACTTCCACTTAATGGAACCAGCACACCATCTAACCAGATGGTCTTATGTATTCCTCTAGCACAGTGGTTCTCAGCCTGTGGGTCCCCAGGTGTTTTGGCCTACAACTCCCAGAAATCCCAGCCAGCTTACCAGCTGTTAAGATTTCTGGGAGTTGAAGGCCAAAACATCTGGGGACGCACAGGTTGAGAACCACTGCTCTAACAGGATATGAAGCATTGACGTCTTGTTTCTAAGACCATCAATATATTATAAGCCTAACATGTCTAAAAACCGTTGATAGACATACTTCCCAGGGATATTTAATTCCCTTTGAAGTTGTCTAAGGCAGCAATTCTTTCATTACCTTTTGTCAAGATATTAAAATATTTCTTCTGCAGACAACATTTATGCTAGCTTGATGCTATGTTTATATAAGATGTGAGCTGAGAAATAGCAGCTTTGGTAACATTTGGCACAAAGTGTATCAAAGTACAGGTTGAGTATCCCTTATCTGGAATTCCAAAATATTACAAAGTCTGAAATTTTGTACCATGCTTTCCGATAGTCATTGCACATAAACTTTGTTTAATATACAAAATTAGTAAACTATATAGTATAAAATTACCTTCAGGTTATGTGTATATGAAATATGAATGAATTTCACGTTTAGACTTGGGTCCCATTTCCAAGACTTAGGAACAAGATGTCAAAGGGTCGCATTTCCAAGGCATTCCATTATATGCATGCATGAAAATACAGATCTTGCAAAACCTTTTTTTGGATTCACAACCCTAAACCCTAATGTGTGGACAATTTCATTTCTTTCTGTTTATACTGTCAGCCATGTCAGTTTTCCAAAGACATAGTTGAGCTGCTGCTAATTTTTTTCTGAAGTGAAAAGTCTTTATGCACTTCTTTTAAAAAAGCTTGCTATGAATGAGTTGCGAGGTATTATGTGACCACAGTGAAAATTCTAATGTGCTGAGAATTGGAGTTTAATGAGCACTTCTATTACAGCAGGAAATTTCCTGACCACAATAGCTCCCCTGTGGAATAAATAATGACTTTTCTTTAAGTGGGGCCACCAACCTCATGATAACCAGAATATGTCACTTTTGCCTTGATAGGTCATGGTTCATCAAAACAATGACATGGGTCGTGGCAAAAATCTATATTAGGAAATGTTTGTCCTTGCTGGGTTTTTTTTTTTTGCTTGCTTATGTAACAAATGGCCCAAATGTGGCGACATAATTTACAACCTTTCAAATGACAATACTATAAAATTACCTACACTGTAGGTCTGATTCCATGTGGATTTTGCAATGAAACAATGATTCTAAGGGTTAAAAAAGAGCTTTTCCTAGTGCTTAAGAACTAATGTAAGGTTGGCCAGAACAATTAAACATTCCTTTAATAGAATTTTCTTTTAAAAAGTAAGTATTCAAATTAACAGGTAACACCGCTAATATACAGAATGATTTTTAAATTTTTCCTTCCTTTTTAGGGCACTCTGGTGGCGCAGCGAGTTAAACTGCTGAGCTGCTGAACTTGCTGACCAAAAGGTTGGTGGTTTGAATCCGAGGAGCAGAGTGAGCTCCTGCTGTTAGACCCAGCTTCTGCCAACCTAGCAGTTCGAAAACATGCAAATGCGAGTAGATCAATAGGTACTGCTTCTGCAGGAAGGTAACAGCACTCCATGCAGTCATGCTGGCCACATGACCTTGGAGGCATCTACGAACAACACTGTCTCTTCGGCTTAGAAATGGAGATGAGCCCAACCCCCCAGTTGGACACGAATAGACTTAATGTTAGGGGAAACCTTTACCTTTACTGTTAAATAATGATACAACTTATCAGTTCCTTGTTACAAAATATGAATTACTTTGTAAATGTGACAGTGAAATACCAGTAATTTGTTCAAGACAGATTTTGTACTCCCAAAGGTGCTTTGGGCTTGTTTCTTTAATATTATATTACCTACCAGCAGAATATTAAAGGTGGGAAGCAATGTGCATAAGGAGATGGTCAAGCCATGAAGATGTGCTCACACAGCCCTGACAACTCAAGCCTATGTATTATTTTTCTTGGAAAAGGGCAAACTTGAATTACAGTTAGGACTGCAGTACAACTAAATTAAATGGACTGCTTATGGATTTGGGACCTAGATTTCAAAGTATATATTCACACATTGTAAGCCATTCTTCAGCTAGAATGATTTATCTGCTTTTTTGCCTTATGTTTTCAGGACACGGTATAACATGGCATTTGCCTGGAAAGAAAGATTAGGAAGACAGAACATTTTTTGTGGCAGTTTTAAGGTAAAAATGTTGAGTTTTTACCATAAAAATGGTATGATCATTAGATGTCACAGAATAGTTATATGCATAAAATGTTTTGAATGTTGAGTTATAATAAAATATGCAAGATTAAATAAGGTTGCAACCTATGTTAATAGGATTGCAAGCCCTATTAAAGAAAGCCAAGAGTTTCTAAACAGTTTGCTCTTGAGAGATGTTCAATTAATTGTTAGTTGTTAATAGTATCATCAAGATAGCAAATATTGTAGCTATAACCCTCTTTTCTCCAACACTGTGCTGATGCATTGTGGTGTTATCTCAGGTGTCTGCTCCTTCTGCCTAACGATAGGAGTGACTTTGTTCAAACAGACTGCATTACACAAAGTAAGTGGTAGAACAATTGCTTTGCTTGTATAATGTCACCAGTTCAATCTTTGACATTTTCAGTCAAAGAATCCCTGACAGCTAAGCAATGAAAGCCTTCTGGCTGAAGCTTGTGATCCCATGCTAGTTTGGATCATTGGTTTGATTGTACAAGGCAGCTCCCTGTATCTCTATATAAAGCACTAGCATGCCCCATAATCACTTCAGTTGCTCAGAATAGCAACCTAAAAGCTTTTCACATTTCAAATTCCATAATCTTGTCACTATAGTTAAAGGTCTATCTTCAAGGCAGAGAGTATTAAAAGTAGGGTTTTTTCCACTGGAAGTACTTGCAGCTCTTACATTTTTAATAGTATTCTTACATGCAGTATTTTCTCCTCCTAAAAAAAAAGGGATACAACTATCCTCTAACTTTGAAACTAGAAAGTTCTAAAGGTTGAGCAGCAGCATAAGTCACGGTATGTTTTAGGGAAGCATGCAATATTAATTATAGAGTGGGCCCTCCAAAAGTGGACTATAGAACCACACTAGAGGATTTACAAATGCCTAGAGAAGTGTTATCTCTAGTCAAGAACGGAAAATAGAATGTTGGTAGACAGGAAAAGAGATTTAAAGATGGGCTTAAAGCCAACCTCAAAAATTGTGGCATAGACACCGGGAACTGGGAAGCCCTGGCCCTTGAGCACTCTAACTGGAGGTCAGCTGTGACCAGCAGTGCTGCAGAATTCCAAGAGGCACAAGGGGAGGGTGAAAGGGAGAAGCGTGCCAAGAGGAAGGCATGTCAAGCCAACCCTGACCAGGACTGCCTCCCATCTGGAAACCAATGTCTTCACTGCAGGAGAACATGTGGATCAAGAATAGGGTTCCACAGCCACCTATGGACCCACCGCCAAGACACATCTGGAAGACAATCATCCTTGAGCTACAAGGGATTGCCTAAGTAAAAGTAAGTAATCTCTAGGGTCTTCTAATGTGATTCTATGGTCAGTTTCTGGTGGAAAGTGACTATAGAGTAATGCTGGAGGACCTAAAGATTTCTTGAAGGAACATATTGATCAAATCTGCAAATGTTAAACCCACAAATGAGAAAGGCTAACTGTAATCTCCGCCCTTTAAAAAAAAAATTCAACATATGTTTTCCTTGCCAATTCTTTCTAATTATTATCTCCACAAACCAATTTTAAGACATTTCTATCCAATGACAGCCTTCATTTTCTCTCATTTGGTTTTACATTCTCATGTTCTTCTACTTCACTTGGCATTTGGCCTGAGAGAATCTCAAGTAACCTTGAGTCAAACGCAACACGCTTTCCAAATCTGGTTCAGAGTACAATTTCCTCTGACTTGGTTTCACAATTTGTCAGCTTCACTTTATGATATAACTATGCTAAGCAAGGGTGGCCTTTCTTTCTGTGTCTGATTATAGCCCTGAAAGCACTTCCTCTCTAGATAAATACATTTTGCAGTAGAAGATTGCATAGGATGCCATGTTCTATAAATGGTCTATAAACAGTAACAAATCTGAAAGGCTGGGTGGCATATGAATTGCTTTTGCTTAAATGC